ACAAAATGCTGTGTGTGCGGTGGTATAACTGTCATACCACTTTATTTCAGCTCAGAAAATCGACCAAAATGAAAAATCAAGTAAAAACTGCAATGCACCTAGTAAATTACGGCTAGTTAGATTAGAGAATCACATTTATCTAAAAAATAACACCTATTTTTCACACACGACTCGAAGAAAAACAATGCGGATCCGACATAACCTAAAATACCGGGTTTTCATGACATACAATACGCTGTAGCCATGTCATTTTGTAAAAATGAATGGTCATACCATTTAGCAATGATAACCAGAGGTATATTGGACCCAATGATTCAGTAGTTGAGTCCGCTCATCACATTGGCAGCGCTGTAAAAATTAAAAACCGAAGTGGTATGACATGTATACCACCGTGCAACAAAGGGTTAAGTCGCCCTTTACCTGCAGAATGAATTAACAATTTAAGTGCGTATTTGTTAAGAAAAAATTCAAATTTGCCTCTTCTTCTCTTTAAAAACCTCATTTTTCTAATGAAGTTTTTTTTTATCATACTTATCAGGTGTCATACGGTGGAAAACCAGTGCATCTAGGAACTTCATTTGACTCAGATGAAGTAGTGAATGAACCAACACATATCAGTTGGCCTTATGAAGACAACACGTACTATACCTTCATGGTGATTGGTATTTATTTTAATTCCTTTTAAAGTATTACTTTTTAATATTAATTGACCAATTCATTGTACAAAAATTGTATGAGCAAATAAGATCGCACATCGCTCATCATGGTGGGCACAAGCAAACTAGAGTCGTCCCAGGTTGATTTTTGGAGATTACTCCATATGCGTTTCAAACAGCGCATGTTCGCTAGGGTGTACAAAAAAACCCCTTTTTTCGAAAACTTTTGCTCTTTTCAAAATTCTTGGTGCTGCTGGACCTTAGTGAATATGGGTCAAATTTTGGTCTCGCACATTTCTACGTAGATCCCAAGCCCCCTTTTTTTCGAAAAATGGGCCGATTTTGAGAATTTTTTTTTCAAGCTTTCTAATTTATAAGCTTACACTTGCGAGCGGCGAGCGAACTGGAGTATCATCGATGCGACTTGAGTTCAATTCTGGCGGCCGCCGCGTAGGTTTTGGACGAGGTCGCAGATTTTCAACATAAATATTCGGTCCTTTCAATCTAAAAATTTGGTCGACTTGACGGTGGGAAAACTAACACAAAAAAAATTAACCAACAGCTTGTGTTACTTCGTGTTTCACTTCCCATATTAACACAAATAGATTACTTTTTCTTACTGTGTAATTTTTTAAGGCATATCTGAAAAAGGCACCAATAAATGAGGGAAAAAGGGAATGAAATGTTGACTAAATCTTGATGAAAACACACAATAAGATGCATCCATTTTGAAATCAAGCCTCTTAAGCGCTCAGCCGATAGGCAGCGCTTTTTGATTTCGACTTGCCTCTGAGTACTAGTATACTAGTGCTAATGCGTTTAAATGGCGCACCAGCTCATCGATGTGTAGGCTTTTTGGGGGGGTCCATTTTCAAAATAAATAAAGCTGTGAAAACTGTATTTTATGCTTTTAACGTAATGCGCAGGTAGTTTCGATCGTTTGTCTATAAGAACATTTATTAGCGGTAGAGTAATTCTTATCGAAATTGATCGTTGAACTCAAATGAAGCCTAAAAAAAAACGCGCCTGAAAAAATGAGCTTAACGGTGAGCTCATTTTCGGGAAACGAAAAAACGCGTTTACGGTTTCCTTGGTAACCTTTGTTTGCTATCAGCTGATGTTTTATTTCCATTTCCCAGCCAAGTCGACGGAGTTTATACTTCCTTTCTTCACTAAATACATTGACTAACACCTGAGCGCTTTTCTAATACGACAGTATTAGAACTTTCCCGCTTGTTTTTTCTTAATATGTAGTCCAAAACTTATCTTCATCAACACCTACATCAGTGACAATGATTTTTGCAGGGTGTCTTAAATCGATGATCGAGTTTCACAGATTTTTTTTTTTACGTTTTCCGTTATTTGAATAGGACCTGACGTACCATCAAGAGAGAATCCAGATCCGGAGTTCCTCTCTTCGTGGGAACATTGGATGATCGGAAATATTCCTGCGAATAACTTATCGGCAGGTGATGTGCTATCCGAGTACGTCGGTATCACTGGCCCCGAGTATGAAATAGGTGAGTGTACTTTGCCATCTTAAATGTTAAGTACATCAGAGCGAATATCCAACTTGGTTTTTACAGGTCACATCCATTCCCAAAATTAGACAAGTTATTTAAAATTATCACTTCTCTGATGCCAGGGCGTATCTAGATTTCTGCATGGGCCGCAGAAAGCATAGAGTTACACGCAGAACAGGGCTCACGTGAAAGTCGGTACACGCTCTTACTTCAGAGGAGCGACGAAATGATTGTAAAAACTTGAGTAATTTTGGTGGAGGATGGTTCACGTGAGAAATTGTGAAAAAAGGAAGAAAAAATAGAACCTATGACTTTTGAAAGATGATATTTAGATAAAGACTAGAAACTTAAGGCGTTGAAACGGAATTAAATAGTTTAATAACGAAAAATGACGTTCTCCGAAATCTATCGTCGTTGATGCAAAAAGAAATATTTAATTTTAAGTTGAAAATTTCGTTTCAACTGTTTCGGGTTCCAAATTTTGAGCCTGACCGCTAATTACTAGCCGCATGTCGGCTCTCACCAGTTATACAGATGGCATTAGGTATGATTTAAATCTAATCCAAACATTTTAATCTAACCTCATGTTTGCGACTGAATGCACACAATTCATCTGAGCCTACGCTCTGTAACAAATTGTTCTCGCCCTTAAACAAAGTGAATTCCGATTTAGCCGGCAAATTTTCCAAAGTAATATAAGGCCGAAAATTCATCTAGGTATTAGGCTACAAAGAAATTTGATACATTTAATCGGTGATTTCGTTTGTTTTTCAGGGACTCATCGATTGGTGTTTTTAGTTTTCAAACAGAATCCAGTGAGACAATGGACCCTGGAGGGCATGACCGTTAATCAAACCATAATGTTCAAGGAGGGCTTACTGAAGAAAAAGTAAGCACACTTCCAAACACTGCTTCCTAGACTTAACAGACTATTATTTTTGTTGTTAATGAGCTTGTTATCATCAATTTTCAGTCCGTGTGAAGGAAAATGAGGAGGGATGGAAATGATATTGATAGAGGTATAATCAAAACTTCAAAAGAAAATTGAGTGACAGAATTTGTCCTCTGGACATGGTTGCCAAAGCATTGGTCGTCGTAGGTGTGTTCACCGTTTCGCCGGGGAATAAGAACCAGAACACAGAAAAGAAGTCTTAGGGGTTATCCCCTAAAATTTTGGCACCAGCTTAATTTGTTGGGTGATATGGACATTTCCAATTTAACCGAATTTTGCAATCAGAGACTACAATTGAATCGGTTTCTGTTAAACGGGCGTAAGTCCACAAATCCAAATTTTTCAGGAGAGGGAAAAAACTGATTTTCTCGTTATGCAGGACACCACTAAATTTCAAAGAAGGGTTCAAAGGTTGTATAAACACCCGTTTAAAAGTTCTGAAATGTTTTTTTGGCTCAGAAAAATTTTAGTACCCTTTTAGGCTAATTTTAAGTTTTGGACTTACGCCCTTATACCAGAAAACGAAGGATGACTGAGACAGTTTCAAGCCAAGAAACTAATATTAAAGTAAGTTTGAAAAATGTAGCACATGGTTTTTTTCTTTTATATAGCATAGGGAGTTATTATATGTTTTTAAATTTATTTAAAGGCCTAAATTTTCTAGAATTACTCCTATTTTTCCAAAATTAATGAAGGTGACATGGGATATTTTCATTTAAAAAAGTGTTGAAACCAAGTTTTCAAATTTCAATCATGTATTTTTGTGATCAATGCACAATAAGAAGTTATATCACCTAACAGCTAGGTCAAGATGCAAATTCAATACAAATGTTCTTCATTTATTATGAAAAAAGTTACAGAAACTTTAGAAATGCGCGAGTTTGAGAACTCGCCCCCCCTATTCCACAGGCTTCTATACATAGGACTTCCGCCATCTTTTCAGAAAATGTGTATGTACCCTAAAGGAGGCTGAAAATGCAAAAAAACGATTTTGAAATTTTTGGACTTACGCCCGTATGACAGAAACCAATTCAATTTCTTTTCAGCTTAGAAACACCGTTTCCCTGTGCACATTCTAGACAAAGTATAAATTAAAATGAAAAAAAAAAAAAAATAACTTTTGGAATTTCTTGGCTTTGTTTTCCTCGCGCGAAATGGTGTGGACCCAGCACCATTTCTTCTTCTTGTTGTATAAATTAAAGCACAACATCACGTGTTTTCTCTTCAAAATTCTACTGATAATACGAATCACACAACGGGTCTGCGAAGATCAACTCCTGAACCAAATATAATCTTTTTCTATTAACATTGGTTAGTTGGCAAAAATACGAATGACGTCATTTGTATAATCAAACTTCAATTTGATCTGTATTTAAAAGACTTTTTAATATCTCGTTCATTTCTCGTTGTGAGAATTGTTTTCCATGTACGATTTTGAAGAGAGAACATGTGACGTTTTCTTCTTCCACAGACCTTGTTAAGTGTCCCATTAATTGGAGTGCTACCACAATTAATTAGAAATGCCCAAGTCATCCAACAACCCCTACATCCCTTCTTCCATGAAAACTGTCGGAACGTACGTACATTTAAAAGATGTAATATATTCGTAATTTCAGTAACAGGGTGGAGAAATGGTGCTAGGTCCACACCATTTCGTGACGAAAACGAAGCCAAGAAGTTCCAAAAATTATAATTAGAGTCGAAATCAAATTTTTTGAACTCTGGTGTTTCGTAAGTTTCAGTTTCGCACTGGTACGCATTAGAGTTCAAAGAATTTAATTTTGACTCTAATTATAATTTTTTGAACTTCTTGGCTTTGTTTTCCCTGCGAAATGGTGTGGATCTAGCACCATTTCTCCACCCTGTTACATACAGTTCTGGCCACTTCTTCGTGTTTTTCTTCATTCGTAATTTCACATAGAAATAATGCCGGACAAAAAAAAAAAAAAAAAAAAAAAAAGATTTGCAAGGTAACGGACTTATCTCTTCTTATTAAATAACCATATCCTACTTATGGCAGGGTAATCGGTTTGATGAGATCGTCGTTTTACCCGAGGAGGATACCAAAGAAGTACAACATGGTGTTGGACCCAATCGCTGTCAACTTCTGCGTCGTGCACCAAAAGAAACCCGTATACGTCGAGCCAACTGAGCCTCCGGACGAGACCGAGACGCCGGAGGACTCGGAAGAACAAGAAGAACTGAGGAGGGCCAAGGCTG